TAGGGTGTTTGTAAGACAAAATTTGACAGGTGACCCCATGGGCTGTTTGCTTATTTTCTGTTTGCTTACAGCTTTTGAATTTGGGTTTGGTAGACTTTATCTAGGTTGAGCACTGAGATATCAGAATTGTTAAGTAGTAGTAGTAAAATCATGTCTGTGTACAGTAAGACAGTATGTTAATTTATTAAAAAGGCAGTGTTAATAAAATTTTAGGTTTTTTAAAAAGCTTTAATGGGTTGTGATTATTCCAGAACTCACAGTAGAGAATATGTGTCCAAAAGAAGAAAAACCACCTCAAAATAAGCCTCATAAGCTAAAAGACCAGACGAGAGGATTAATTTGTCTTTTTTTGTCTAAACATGTTTGAAAATCTTTTGAAGTAAAAAGAACAAAAAATACCTGGAGAGCACATTCAGGTACTAGTATCTCTATAACCAACTATCTTGGCAAGAAGAAAGGGTTGTTTTTATTTTTTTAAACCGAGTGCGTTTATGATGTTTCCGCAGACTCGAGGTCACCCTGATCCTTGTTTTGACTCTAGAAATGTAGATTTTTGGGAGGGTGGGAGGAGGGAACAGACCTATTGCAGCAAGAACTCTCCCAAGTGTAGTAAGTATAGTGTCCTCCTGAGCTGAAGTGCAGCAAAACCCAGATCCCTGGATGTGTTTGAACTTGTACATTTCAACGGTCTGATGAGTGATAAGATCAGAAATTATGTGTTTTTTAAAGATTCTTTGGGAAAATTTTGCTGCCTTCAACAAATAATTTAAAGTTGTTATGTCTTTTGGCAGGGGACATACTAAATAGTAACTTTTAAGCCCCCCAAATTGATCTCATACATTTTACTTAATTAAATGTCACTGTCATTATAATTAAAGCTGCATGAATAAATAATCTCTATTTGAAGCTGAGAAACATGGGAGGTATATGCTTTTACTCTGCTGTTCCATATTCTGGTATCTTTTTAGTGTCCTAGTGTTGAAAAAGACTAGTTGAGCAATACAGAGCACCTAATTTCTTAAGAAAATGTGATTGATTTAGGCGGTCTATAAGAGCTTCCTTTCTGAACATATATTTAACTAATAGTTTAAGAGGATGTTGCTACAATTGATTAGTGTCCAACTGACAAAAGATAGCAAGAGGTTAGTAGTGCAGAAGCAATGTCTACTGTTCTGTCTTCAGAAAATTGTATTTTCATTGTTTGCATATAATAAAAATCAAACATAGGAATCGATTTTTCAAATAGTTTAAGATAAATTCTGATTTCTGCCTTATTTTTTCATTCTTCCAGGCAAGGCCTTAGTTATGATGCTAGGAAGCAGTCACATGTTCAACGAGTCTGTGATGGACAAGGCACATGGTGTTAATGTGTTAGCTAAGCTGTTTGAGTGGCTGAAGGAGGCTGGGTCAGCTATTAGATTTTTTGGTCCAGACTATGGGGGCTGGATTTCATTTCCAGTTCTAACAAAGGCTTTTTGTCTTAACAAAATGTTTTACTCCTTGTTGCTCAGGACCCCATCTGGAAGTACAGTTTACTTCGCACTGCTTTGGAGGTGTTGTGGGGGTGAATGTTCTCAGTAATATCCCCTTCCTTATTTTGAAAGGGAGAACAAATAAGCCTAAGAGATCATAATAAGGTACAGTAAATAGCTTTACTGTAAAGACTCTACAAACAACAAATAGTTGGGTTACCTAGGCAAGTCCAAAAGTGTGTATTTTTTTTACAAAGAGTAAGGGGAAAAATTACCTGCATCGGGACAGTGTGACTGGCTGCCCTGCAGTTACTGTGCAGGGTTGAAGTGCATTGCCACGATTGATTGGACTGCAGTCTTGTAACAAGAAGTACTCTTCTAGCAAAATACCTACTTAACTGCAATTATTTTTCTTGTTACAGCTTGAAATGTACCACTTTAAAGTAGAAGTACATTAAGTGGATATAGCTGCATTCACCTGCGGATCAGCTACTGACGTGGGTGGGGTATGTTAGCCAGAAGCACCGTGAGAAATGGAGATGGTAATATTCTGTTACCACTGATTTGGGGACTCGCACGATCAGTAGAAGCCACTGTGTAAATTACATCATCTGATTTATTACTCTCTAGCTCAGTTCCCTGGACCTTCACTGGTGTTGCTTGACCAGTATTTTAGAGGCCCGAGAAGGAGCGAGGGAGGGACCAGTACCTTGGTGACAGTTTCAGAGCACTAAGTGTTCAGATTGCTGTAGCTGCTAAACTTGCTGTGCCAGAAGTTTCAGTCAACGCTTTTAAAATAGAGAATCCCCCCCTCCCTTATACAACAGTTGTTGGTGCCAGATTTTTAATAATATGCACATAGGCTAACATCACAGTAGGGTTTAGAACAATAGTTGAGTCACTTCCTCATTGTGTGCCTGCCAAGGCCTAGTACTCGCTGCTGGATTTTCATAGTAACAGGTGACATCATTCCTGCCTAACTCTCTGAAAGGGTAAGAGCTCCCGGGGGTGTAACTAACACAGTCACCTGGTGCAGAAGTACAAAGAAGAGCTTGCAGTTGTTGTGGTTTCTTGGTTTTCTGCCTTAAAAAAAGCTTTACACTTTTATTACCATTCAATAATCCAATTTTTTTATGAGCACCCAAGAAAATGATTAAACTTGACAACTGATGTGTGTAGTAATGTATTATGGCTCTTTGGAATAGACTGATAGAAATGCATCTGTGAATGCCTGCCATTCGTGCTTCTAGGAAATTCAGATTAACTTAAGGCTTTGGAATTCCACCTGTTCCGTGATCAGTTAATAAGTTATCTTTGTGTTTTGTAAAATGGCACTATCTATTTAGAATGGATATTTGTCTTCAAACATCTGTTCAGATGCTATTACACAGTGAGCTGATCGGATCTGGGTTCATCATACTAATGGATTGTTGCATGCTACTGCAGTTTCTTTGGTTTTTCTCCTTTTTCCCTCTGCTGCTTTTGCACATCTATGCCGACGGTTCCTCTCGGCTGATCTTTCTATTAAAAGCCAGTACTTGGAGGTAACCTCAATGAAAAGTCATACCATTTAGACTGTGTTTTGCAAACACGCTGCATTTCATTTGAAGATAATGAAATAAAGCTTGTGCCATTGAGTCCAGTTCCTTACTGCTGAGGGCAAACGTGAAGTGGCTCACACTTATTTTTAAAGTAACTCTTGCAATTGACTGTTAAATTTTAATGTGCAATACTGAAACTGGCTTGTGTGGAATGTAAATGAGACTTTCAGAGAAGTAAGCTTGTTTTGATTTGCTTATAACTTGTAGCTTTAAAATGCTACAGGAAGTATTTTTATTAAATTTCTGTTAATAAAGATTTAGTGTTCTTACTGTGGACAGCTTTCTCATCTCTTGTCAGAGAATTAAGTTACAGATACCAGATAAATTGCATTAAATGTATAAGTGCAAGAGTTATTAAAACAGTGTATTGATAGACAAAGGCCTTGGGTGGTTCTCATGCTCCCATTTATTAACTAGTTAAAACGTTCAGAAGTAAATATTTATCTTACCTTGTCTAACCCAAGACCTTAAGTAACAATTGAGGGTTTTAATCCGCCTGATGATTTTGCTTTCATAGGGACACTATGAAACATAGGACACTGTCTCACAGCACTCATCCCAAATGTTTTGTTAATATTGTGCTAATCATTGCAGTCATTGTGGTGGTCCCTCTCCCACCTTTTTCCACTCAGAGTTAACAAGTCTGGGTTATGGTGTGCTTATCTCCTCTGAGATTTTGCAGAGATCTGGCTAAAGAGGTCAAAGAATCAACTGAGTGAACAAAATCGGGGGGGGGAGGGTGTCCATCTTGGGGGTTCTTGACAGCATCGTGGTACGGTGCCAAAGATCCCCAACATGGCTGCTAGGCTGTAGATGCAGCGGAATTAAACCAGAACACCTCTGAGGCCCAAGGGGCAGCGGCTGCTCTGGGCCTGCTGAAATCTGATTTGTGACATCACACTTCTTGATGCTCCTTCCTGGTGATGAACGCATGGTATTCAGTATTGCCAGGAAGGTGTGATTTTTAACATCAGTAAGACTTGGTGTGTAAAAGTTGCTGACGCAGCACCAAATGTTGCGGAACTTCATGGTTCTGGCAGTTAGTGCGTGTGTTGTCCATGGAAAGAGCACACCTATTTTGTGTGTGCTCTGGTAGCACACTTGATCTCTGAAGTGTGTTGCTCTGAAAACTTGGGCTGCATTACTTGTTTTCATGGACTTTTGTGGTTTTCTTGGGTAACTTGTAGAGGGGCCTCATTTTTTAAGTGAAATCGTGTTGTAGCTAAAACAAGTTGAAAGTAACACAATAGCGACTGTTATACCTGATGTGTTTTGCAAGTATGTTTGTTTAATTCGGTATGTAATATGGTTGAACAAGTGGTACTGCCTGCAGAATTAACCAATCTGCTGAAAACTAGTTTCTGTTATTTCTCCCACTATTTCAATTAAAAAAAAAAAAACCAAAACTTAACATGAGAACAGGTTTCTTGATTACCTGCTCTCTATTGGCCAAGTGTCAAGCAGTCATTCTTCTGATATCTTGTCAGGGGGAACATTAATTTGATGGATAGAGAACAGAAGAAATAGGTGGGGAAAGTGCTATACAATAAGGATCCCATTTTCAGGTAGATTCCTGGAGTAAAATGAGGGATGAAAAAACAATGTTTGATACTGCTAGAATTGTTTAAATGGAATTTTCTATGTTGTGTCAGACTGTATGGAAAAATGTAATCTGCAGAAAAGCAGTTTCCTTTTGTTAACTTTTTTCTACTCATCAGTGGGAGTTTAAATAATCCTGTAAAATAAAAAGCAAGTATTGATTGTATAACTGGTATGTGTTTCAGCTCTTACCAGCATTTTTCTTTCCTTTTGAGTTTTTCTAAACTTAAACACAAGTTTTTGCTTTCAGGAGTAGGAATTACTCTTCTTGGCTTTGTTTTGGAGTCTATTTTGATTGTGTAATTTAAGCACTGAGCTTGTATTTCAGGTTAATGGACCTGATGGCATTCTGCAGAATGGAGCTGTGGATGATAACGTGGCTAAAACCAGCCAGCTTCTGGCAGAGTTGAATTTTGAAGAAGATGAAGAAGATACCTATTACACAAAGGATCTTCCTGTGCATGCGTGCAGGTGAGACATAATCTTTGCCGCGGGCTTATTTCCAGAGAGCAGGAACTCTTTGTGTGAGTGAAAGGTGTATGCTTAGAGGATTTTTGGAATTTGAGAGCAACTTCCTTGGAGACAGACATGTACTGGTAGGAAAATGGTGCCCTCTGGTGAGCTCTTGTGTACACTTCGAGCTGCCATGTCCAGTAGGTCTTTGCCTTTCCTTGAGGAACAGAAGGCTAAGCCAGCTGAGGGTTGGTAATGGTGGGTGGTAAAATGCTTGTGACTCAGAACAGAAGCTTAGCTCGTGTTTGCCTTCAACAGTAGCATTCCCCAGTTTTTACTTCCCCTTATTTTTGTGCACTGCTAGGTAGTTTAAATCTTGTATTTGAATTTTCCTATAAGCAAGTACCCAATCACTTCTTGTTTTTTCATTTTTAATTCCAGTTACTGTGGTATCCATGACCCTGCTTGTGTGGTTTACTGTAACACCAGCAAAAAGTGGTTCTGTAATGGGCGTGGAAATACATCTGGCAGGTAAACAGTCATATGATGGAAATAATAATGACAATCTTGTTTTAGAGTGGGTTTGTTTCGAAGTGGTATGATGGCTGTGACTTAGATTTTTAGTGATAGTTGAAGTCCAGTGACTTAAATGTGAACCTCCCATGTCCTCTTTAGCTTTTCCGCTGTTACCAACTTAGACTTCGATCTTGACAAAACTTGAATTGCTTCTGTGAAGTGAGCTTGCTGCTTCTTCCCCCATCCTTTGTTCCTGCAAAGCACAGTAGAACTGAAGCTCTTGACCTGTGGAGCTTCGGGAAACTTCTTTCAATTATCAGTAACACAAAAAGAATTTTTTTCACATTCATCTATTCTAGCATTCATGCACTAAAACTATTGGAACTGTTAGCAGTATCTCTGCTTGGATGAAAAGAGCAAGACCTTACCAATGTCTGCACAGTGTAAATAATTTTGTGTGTGTCTTTTAATAACCAAGTTGATACATCAAGTTAGGACTAAATCTGGTTTTCCTATTAATTTCATATAAATGTATGTCTTCTCTGGTTTCAGCCACATTGTTAATCATCTTGTGAGAGCAAAGTGCAAAGAGGTGACTCTTCATAAAGATGGACCTCTAGGAGAGACTGTCTTGGAATGTTATAACTGTGGATGTCGTAATGTGTTTCTCCTTGGCTTTATTCCAGCTAAGGCAGACTCTGTGGTGGTTTTGCTGTGCAGGTGAGAGAATGCCTTTATTGGCATGTCTGTGTCAAGTCTATGCATAACCTTATTTCTAAAGGGCAATACTTGCTTTCATTTTTACCAAAATATATTTTATACTCTAATTTGCCACAGTTTTCCTTTAGATGATTGTATAGACTTCATGAATTGTATACAAGTAGATAATGCAATAAAGGAACGTTCTGTTGCGCTGGGCAAATGTCTTAGTTCAATAGAAAAGTATTTCTCCCAAATGAAGCAGTCCTTAATGATGAAAGGTGTTTCTTCCTTTTGTGAAACTGTGATTTTTCAGCTTTAGAAGAGTAACGGATCAGTTCAGGAAATTACTCTGGAGCCCTACTGGAGTAGTGACTCAATTACACAGTAATACAAAGTAATTATAAAGAATTGTTTGAAGATGACAGTAAATTGGAAGTTGTTCTCAAAGATCTATGAGAAGTCATGATTTTGTAATTGTGTTTATTTTTATTAAATGCTGTTGCTTACCATGTATTTGACAGTAGAAGGTGTGTTTCTACAGAATGAGTTGTCCTATTTGTGTAAACAACAGATGGGAAGTAATCCCAAGTGTTTTCTGATATATTATGTGTGTGCATAATCTTAATGGACTGTAACCACTTTCAAAGGTGAGTGTCATATTAAATATTTTATATGCTGAAGTTTTCAGTTCTAGAAACACCCAAGAAATACAACTTACGATACCAAGCCTTCCCAGTGTTGAAATAGTAAATACAGGAACTAAAAAAATGAGTTGGCCCATCAGGTTAGGGTTGTTCTGTTTTTTTTTCTTTTCACTGAGATACTTGAATAGGTTTATCATGCTCTTAAAACAATTTTTACACTTTGCACAGTAATCCTTTTCTTACACTTGTCTAATTTAATAATTTTTTCAATATTTTGGTTGTGCAGGCAGCCATGTGCCAGTCAGAGCAGCTTAAAGGATATTAATTGGGACAGTTCACAGTGGCAGCCTCTCATCCAAGATCGCTGTTTCCTTTCATGGCTGGTAAAGATTCCATCTGAACAGGAACAGTTGAGAGCACGTCAGATTACAGCTCAACAGATTAACAAACTGGAAGAACTTTGGAAGGTATGTGCTGCTTTTCAAATACCAGTTATATTTTACCAAGTGCTAATTTTGTGCTTTATGAAGGAGGGACAAGACTGTTTTAGCAACTGTATAAGACAGGGAACATACTTAAATCACATGAGGTTTAAATCCTGCAGATTTGACAAGCAATGCAACTGGGAATTGATCAAAGGGTTCAGGAGATTATTTATCAAAGTAGGAAAGTTTCATCCTTAGGTTCCTTAGGTCTCTTCAAGCTGCACTGTCAAGCCTGAAAAAGCAACTTTCCTTCCCCATATCAAGTCTTTCACTTGTTTCTGTTTTATGTGATGATTAGCTGAGTAGGGAACCGTTAGTCCATGGTTGGTATTCAGTTATTGCTTATTGAGAGGCTTTTCTGTTGTGGTGGGTTGACCCTGGCTGGTTGCTAAGTGCCCACCAAACTCGCTCTATCACTCCCCTTCTCAGCTGGACAGGGGAGAAAAAGTATAACAAAAAATTTGTGGGAGAGACAAATTTGACAGGGAGAGAGCATTCAGTGATTACTGTTGTGGGCAAAACAGACTCGACTTGAGGAAATGAATTTAATTTATTCCCAATCAAATCAGAGTAGCGTAATGGGAACTAAAGCCAAATCTTAAAACACCTTCCCCTCACACCTCCCTTCTTCCCAGGCTCAACTTTGGTCCTGATTTTTCTCTACATCTTCCTCCTGAGTGGCGCAGGGGGATGGGGAATGGGGGTTGCAGTCAAGTCATCACACATTCTCTGCTGCTCCTTCCTTCTCTGGGGGAGGACTCCTCACACTCTTCCTCTGCTCCAGCATGGGGTCCCTCCCATGACAAACAGTCCTCCATGGACTTCTCCAACATGAGTCCTTCCCACAGGCTGCAGTTCTTCATGAGCTGCTCCGCCCTTCCATGGGGTGCCGTCCTTCAGGAACAGACTGCTCCAGCCTGGGTCCCCTGTGGGGTCACAAGTGCTGCTGGGAGCCTGCTCCAGCGCAGGCCTCCTATGGGGTCACAGTCTCCTTCGGGCATCCCCCTGCTCCAGCGTGGGGCCCTCCCCGGGTGCAGGTGGAGATCTCCAGCGTGGAGCTCCATGGCTGCAGGGGCACAGCCGGCCTTACCGTGGGCTTCCCCATGGGCTGCCGGGGAACCTCTACTCCGGCACCTGGAGCCCCTCCTGCCCCTCCTTCTTTGCCAGCCTTGGTGTCTGTGGAATTGTTCCTCTCACATTCTCACTCCTCTCTCCAGCTGCGATTACTGTACTGTTTGTTTTTTTTTTTCCCCCCTTCTTAACTATGTTTGATCCTAGAAGCGGTACCACTGTTGCTGATGGGCTTGGCCTTGGCCAGTGGTGGGGCCATCTTGGATGGCATCTTTGTCTGGCTTGGCATCTTGGATGCCATCTTGGTCTGGCTGGTCTTGACCCTGTTGGACATAGGAGAAGCTTCTAGCAGCTTCTCACAGAAGCCACCCCTGCAATCCTGCAGCTACCAAAACCTTGCCATGCAAACCCAATACATCTGTACATCCTTTAATGCGTGACAAACCTGACTGGATGTGACTGAGCATGATGTATAATGTCTTGGTGTAGTTTTAACAGGTTGTTAAACTTTGATATAACTTCCTGTAGTAGCAAAACACAGTACTGTCAGTCCTGTTGCACAGGGAGAGATTGTCACTTGTTTGTGCTTAAAACTTTGAAACAAAATGTTTGTGCTTTAAATTCTAGGAAAATCCATCTGCAACCCTTGAGGACTTAGAAAAGCCAGGTGTTGATGAAGAACCACAGCATGTCCTGCTTAGATATGAAGATGCTTATCAATACCAAAATATATTTGGTCCTCTAGTCAAGCTTGAGGCAGACTATGACAAGAAGCTCAAGGAGTCTCAGGTAATATGCTTGAAATATGCCTGTTTGAGGGGGCTTCTGACCAGTTCTCTGATATCAAA